CGCAGGGGTGGCCGCGCGGAGCCAGGAAGGCACCTGCTGCTTAGCCCCTCCTGTGAGCTCAGCCCTGAGATCTTGTGGCCAAGTGTCCAGTCAGAAGGCCAAAGGGACGGAGGCCGCCTTCGAATGCCCCCTTGCCAATAAGACACAGCTTTAGTAACTCAAGGCATTTTTATTTGTTCATGAATCCCAAAAAGAGGGGCGCGCGAGCAGTTTCCCACTTGAGGGTCAGAAATCCAGGCCAAGAGCCCCCTGCACCAGGGCAGAAATCCAGCCCCCACCGGCCAGGTTGGCCGAGGGGTGCGACGGCAGGGCCTGGCCTTGCTTTGGGGAAGGGGCCACGCGCAGCACTGCCCAGTGGGACCTACTCCCCTGGAGCCCCCTGGCAGAGGGCATCCCGCGGCCCCACCCATTTGGGGCAGCGATGAAAAGGCTTGAGGTGCTGTTTCCACCAGCAGGCGGGTCAGCAAACAACCTGCCATTGTGGCTCAGCCTCCCTGGGCAAAAACGGGGGCCTAGAAGGACCGCCCCCTACCTCCCTGCAGAAGGCAAGAGGGACGGGGGGAGAGGGAGAGTAGGGCAGAAGTGGGGGGAGAGGATCTGTGGGGACTCTGCTTGGCAGAGGAAGTGCCCCTGCGGCTGGGCCTCACAGCTCCCTGGGTGCCAGGGGCACTTTGCCACCCCTCCGCCCGGAGCTCCCGGGCCATCCAAGCCAGGGACTGCCCACCCTCCCCCGGCTCCTCTTCTTGCCCTCTTGGCCTTCCCTGGCACCTGGAAGCACCTTCCCTTGTTCTCCCAAGGGTGAGGGAGGGGCTCACCTGAGCTGCCCCCCAGCCAGAAAGACAAGCACTGGAGGCACCATTCTGGCACCTGAGAGACTGGGGGGCAGAGGAGGGGAAAGCCCCACAGCCAGGCCGGGCCAGTGACATCTTGGGCTGCTCACCTTGGCTTTGTCCCACGTGCCCGAAACTTGGTTCCTCACCCAAAGAGGAAGTAAAGCCAAGGCCATAAGCCGCTGGAGGAACAGCAAGTGCCTTGGCACCGTAATCAGTCCGCCTAGTTCTGGTGCTCACCCCGCCCCCCTCCCCCCCGTTTACACCTGGTCTTTTGTGAAGTTGGCCTCGGGGCAGATGCTGCCCCTCCTGGAGCAGAGCAGGTGGACCCCCCCCCATAGGAACACTGGCCATGAAATGAAAGCCAGTCGGGGGTGGGGGGGGGGGTGTTGGGCTCTTTAAGATCTT